ACGACATTAATCGCTCGTGTGCGAGAAAATTACGTAATAATAAAATTCATCTAGGGAACTCCCTATATTATGTTTGCAGAAAATCTACGTAGATTTTGTAATGATTTTTATATACCATAATTCACAATCAAATTCCAAGGCGTAATACAGTGATCCAGTAAAAAATTTGACCATTTTTTAATTTTTTTAAGCATCTCATTAACCCAGTTTACGACAAACAGTAGAGTTTGAGTGCACTAACTCGCCTCTAACTGTAATTCTAACCGCCAACGTTTAATTACATTAATTGTACTGTTAGATCATTTTTTTACTGATAAATCTCTTAATGTAACATTTTTATTAAATGCTGTTATAAATAAAATTGTATCAAATGTTTTAAGTGTAATAATTACACCACGTGTAATGGGTAATTTATGACTATTTATATATTTTTTTGTTAATTTAAACTTTTATTAAAAATTTTATCTTTACTAAAAAATTAAAATAGTAAATTACAATATTATAAATACGATAGTCAATATGTATGTCTGTAAAGCTTTCGCTTCATCACAGGTCTCTGTTGCTAGAGCACATTTCTTCCCTATAAACAGGATAAAATCGAACAGGAAGATTTAGCGCCATTCGGAAGCTCAATATAATAATTTTTAATCTTATAGACCGAACGCACTAACTACTGCGCCAAGCATAGTCCAATACGCTCTCGCGATTCCACAACCTTTCCGCCCCAATGTCCATCACTTCTTTTCGCTATATGTCCCGCCCACTGCCACTTCAGCTGACAGCTGAGCAATCCTTTAAACAACGTATGTTCCATTAATTCTCCTACAGATGTCATTCCTAATTCGATCATGTAAAAAACTTTGTTGTCTATATTATCTGCTGGGTGACTTCAAGCCTTCTTATAAGACCCGTAATAATAATAATGTCTTTATTTGCAATAAATAGGGTTATATATACAGTGATCTTATTTAAGTTTGAGTGAGAGCTTTGACCTATTTAGCCATCTTGCGACAAACGACCACGTTACACTTCCTTAAGTAACCACTGTTGCCAGTGGTTAATTACATATGGAATCTGCATTTTCTGTAATCTTTAATTTCCATAATAGGGATGACGACTGAGTAAACAAAATAAATTCTATTTAGTCCGTCAGTCAGATAATAGAAAAATATTAAATATGTATTTTTTTATTTCAATTTAACAAGAAATAGCAAAAATAACATTCATTATAATTGAGGAGTGTGGGCTCGTTACGTCACAGTTTTGTAGAAATTGTTCCAAAGCGTGACGTCATGTGCCATTTTAACTTAATTGATTTAATGATTACAAAAAAAGTACAAATAAATACGCGTTAAATATTTTTAAACCAGACAAACTAACAGCGAACTATTGCAAGTCAATTTAGTTTTATTTAGTGCACACACGATATTTCTTTAATTAACAGTTAAAATAATATTACTTACCTACTTTATAAATCGTATAAAAAGAGTTAAGTCACCACTAAAACATAATTTCTCCAATTTAGTAGCTAAATAGTATTTAAAACATAACTTCATTATGTGGGTCGTACTAATTATATGCACTAAAACTTAATGAGTATCATTTAAAAGTGCTGGAAGTATACAAAGTTAAAACGGCCGTTCCAAATTAAACTGTACGTTAAAGAGTTAAAGTCCATTGAATAGTTAGTGTGGTAGAAGTTCCCACGGTTTACTGGAGATGTAGATAATTACGGTAAAGTTATAATTCGGTTAAAATGATAGCTTACTCATTGATCTCGTTGATTTAAAGGTAAAATGTCAAGACATAGCCATATTGTAGTGATCACAGTAACTGAACTTAGTAAGTAATAAACTTAATAATATTGATGTGAGTTTTTATGTAAAAGTCGTTGATAATTATTTTTTTTAGTACCGCCGACGATAATCGTTTGTGAGGATAAAGTTTATTACTCTTTTACGCAAAAACTACTAAATACAGGATTTTGATGAATTTTGTATAAGGACAAATCTAAGTCTGATTCAATATTTAGGCTGTTTTTAATCCCATTTCATAAAATGGAATGTTCTGTCAAATCTTGGTGTAAATTTAGCGGGCAAAACCGCTGGCGAATAGCTAGTATATTTATTTAAAGTAAAAATAGGCAACGATTAAAGTCAATATACTAAAATCGTAATAGTTTGCTGGTAATTTATTAATAAATTTATTTACAAAAAAGCGTCAAAAGTGTTGGCATACGCTGTCTTTATATCTAACTTATTGGTTGACTGATGTCAATTAATTTTTTGTCAAGGTTTTCGTTTCACCTTTATGTACACGCTTAACAGGCTTTAGATAAAGACGAAGACTGAGCTTCACAATACCTTTATTCATATTTTATTTTCATCACAGTTTTTATTATATGTTTTCTTAATTACTAAAACAATGGTAGTAACTTTTCTACTTGTATTTTTAAAAAGAGGTATGTACTACACATTTCTTTTAATCCCTCATAAATTATACCACACTCTAACACGACGCCAATAGCCGAGACAATCCAGTGAGCCAGTCCAGTATTGATCTCTTTTAAGTGGACATAATCCTCAAGCCGGTAATCAACTCAGTCCGATGAAAGGAAATTTCTGATTTTACTGGACTGGGTAACTGAATAGGTCTCGTGTAAATGGTTCATTCGTCTTGAATTCATTTGCTGTCTCTGGACCCATATGCCTTCTTCTCAACATTAGGAAAACAAGTGCATTTATAATTGGATTTAGTTAATAAAATGTCCATTAAATATATTAATGGAATATTTAATTTCACCATTTCATCGAATTTCTTTAACACTTCTAACAAAAATATGCCACTAATTCCTTAAGAAGTCAGGTTAAGTGTGTAAACAAGAAAAACCACTAACCGCTTCTTTTAAAAGAAACTTTTTTGAGTATGTGTCATTGAATTTTTGCATATATGTCGTAATAGTGGTCTATCGAGGTGAACCTTACCCTATATGGTGCGCCAACAGCCAAGCCAAGGAAGGTCACCGGCTGACATCATTGCGAGGCTTCGTCAGCTTGTTGAACTGACAATTTTTTTTGTTCTAAAGAATATTAACAATTAATTTCGTAGTGTTGTAGTTCATTAATGTAGGTAGATACAATATTGGGGAATATAATATGAACATTAATATGTCGACAGCAATATAATTTTCATGTATTCCACTTACATAAGACGTTAAAGTAAAATTCATTAATCTGTTCGTGTGAGTTAGTACTAGAGTAGGTACTCTATATTTTTCTCTACACTCATTCACTCTATGTTAACCTACCTTCCTAAATAGCTTTAAAAAGCACATACAAGATGCAATCTAATGTAGTTGCATTGCAATTCTTCGTTCTAGTATTACCTCGTTCATTTATCATTATAATGTGTTAGCCAATGTGTTTGTTTTCTATACTTAACAGCAAAACAATTTAATACCAATTTTTTGCATGTTTCTTCGAGTTACGAAAATACCTTTGTGTTAATTATATAGCTATTATTTATTTAGCAAAATCGATTATAATAGCTGAGATCCGGTGTATCAGTTGCGTTTTTAATTAGACAATATAAATGCATAGCACAAAAAACAATCCTGACTGAACATCGTTTAACTAGCGCAGTATTAGTTTTTGTAAATTTTGTTATAATGCGCAGCACGTGATGAACTAAAATGCTGATTTTCCGCGCTGGTACAGTCGTGAACTATATTATAATGCTGTGGTTACGCGCTGTTTCTTACCCCTCACTTCCTAGCCCCCGAAAATGTGGTTACAAAGTTCTACTTAAAATCGTGCGATCAACAATCTTATTCTGTGAAAAATACATAGTCGAACACAACCCTATCATAATAATTAGCTGTTCAATAAAATAAAACATACTTTTAATGATTTTAGCTATTTAATTGGACCCTAAATATAGCAAACTGTGACATGGTCACATTTAAAAAAGAATAAGTATTCAAACAGTTTTAGGTACTTATAAATATTACCAATATGATAAACATAACTTTCTTTTTTTGACTTTTGATCGCTTATAACGTCTGATTCTCAAATAAAATGTTAGATATGAAAGTGAACCAATACTATTACATACAAATTTTTGAGTATTAATTTGGAACCTATTACTGCAATGTTATAAAAAATTTAAATAAGAATTATCAACTGCTAAACGGATTTTTTCTCGTCTATAGTATGTATAATCAACATAATAGGTAAGCTTAGATATAAAATAATTATTGCTTGATATTAATCCTCGCAGGTTGTTGTTATTTCTTGTTGCTCGATAATTGTTAGAAAGGCTTTGGTTTGCATAATGGTTCCGCAAACATTCTCAAGTATATCGGAGAAACTTGCATTATATCCTGCTGGTGTCATTTCGACCTCATAATAACGATACTCCATCAATTCGGCGGTTGTTTATTTTGAATACTTAAACACACAATGGACGTCACTACAAAAGCATCTGACTGTCCCACACGCTACCTACACTGTATTCTTCAAACTAAATCTTAAAGATGGAATGTAAATATTTTACGCCCATAATGTTCCATAAAATTGTTGAACAAAACAGATTGTGATGCATTGTCTGTTTTTGTTTTATGTCTGTGTGTAAACACATAAACTAGAAAACGTCAAACCAACTCATCGGAGATTCAATTCTTTAATATCCGTCAGTAATGTTTAAAAATACACGATACACGATAAATAAACGATAAATCTAGATTTAATAAGTCTAGAGTGAAATTATAAATATAATAAGAGGCGAAAAAAATTTACGTATTATTTCGATACTACATAGTAGGTGTTATCATAAGAAAAGAGATAGAAAAATCCTTGATTTTGCTACAAAGGTTTTTGTCATAAAATTTACATTAAAAAATTGGATTTCTTTTGCATGTAAATTTTATGACATGAAATCTAGAGTTTGTATTTTATTTTTAAACTATCTGTTGACTAACAATTTCTTTTCTATTTATTCAGGAAATATATTTGAAGCCGTTACACTATTGCTCCAAACTACATATGCATCGAACAGGTCAGTGGTTTTTACTAATTATTAAAAAAATAATCTGTAATAAAAATATTATGAAGTTCAATGCAATCATTTATTTTTTAGTTCGTAAGAAAATACGTACGTTCGCACAGTATCAAATTCATTGTTTAAAAGGTTCATGCATACCACGTATTTGTTGACGTAATACAACATACGCTATAATCCTATTAATATTATAAATGTGAAAATTTCTTTGTTTGTATGTTTGAATGTTTGTCCGTCAATCACGCCGAAACTACTGAATACATTTTGATGAAATTTGGTATAGAGATAGGGTATTAGCTGAGTTAGATAATAGAATATTTTTTATCCCACTAAATATTTCCCCTATTGACCACCCGGAAGAAGCCGCTGGCGAAAGCTATTGTATGCTATAAACATGAACTCCATGGACCGTCATCCTGTTGTTTATGACTGAAAGACTACATGATCTGAGTTGAGGTTATTCACTACTGTTGCTTTTGAATTATTGCTAATAGCAACACTATACACTATACAGATAAGTGAGAAACTGAATGCAAAAATTGTATTATGATGTTTTGAAAATACAACGACACACAGGTCTGAGAAAATAAATTATGTTCATTTTCTATATTGACTTGAAAGCTTATAAAACCTTAAACTACATGATGATGGTAACTTGAAATTGGCGTTTCAACATCATCATCACCAACCCTTTTACGTCTCCACTGCAGGGGATTATGGATGGTTAAGGCCTCTATGCAGGCCCAATGAGGATTGGAGGGTATTAATGACTGCAAATGCAGCCGAGACCGATGGTTTAACGTGAATTCCGAAACACTGAGTAGCTCGAGATAATAATTTTTTGGTCATCCATCCCGTGACCGACCCTTTCGAAAGTTGCTTAACGACTACGATCGCGGGCCGCGGCGCTTATCCTCTACGCCACCGAGCTATTCAACTGTCTGGTTTCAACATAGTAATATATTTTACTATGGTTTCAGCCACTTGACCACGCATGAATTCAACAATATATCAAATATGAAAATTGTATGTTTTGTATAAATCAGCGGCATGGAACTTTTATATAGAAAAATGTTAATTTCGATAAATAATAAATAAAATCATGCAATTGCTGGCTATCGATGTATATCAATGATTAAAATTAGTTTTTCGAATAATTTTATGCTATATGTGACTGACATTGATAAATAAATATATTATGATTACATGTGTTTTATCACTGGTTATTTTAATGAAAATTTGATTTAGGTATATTGCTAATTATTCCGTATAATACGTACGTTTATTGTACGAATATTACCAGTGGCGTAGCTACTAAGGGGCTAGGCGGGGCAGTGCCCCGGGGCCCTCAAGCTCAGGGGGCCCTCGAATCTTTACCAGAAAATCTTAATCGAACTCAACTTTTGAAAATTTCTCCCATTTTTAAAATAAATATGACACATGACAACTCGAGTTTAATCATGACAACTCAGTTGTGAGAAATTCCAAAGTTATAAAAAGTGAATTCCCCTAAATTATTTCTGTGGGTTGACAGTGCTATTAATGTTTTCATCAATTTGTCGGATATCAATATCTGCATAATATTATTTATCGATATGCCTTTTTGTGATTCGCGATTGTGAACTTCGAGTCAAGATTTTTTTCGAGAATGAATTTTTTGTACTGGTCCATACAAATGTTCAATTTTATTTGATTATAGTACGTATACATAGTTACGTCTATAGATTTCGAAGTCTATAGATTTCGGCTACTCACTATATAACTCAAAATACCGTGAAAAATACAAGTCACATGCGGTAGGGGGCCGCTTAATTACGTGATGTTTTTTGTCATCTTTTAAACCGTCAAATGTGGTAACACTGACGGCGATAAAATGTTTGCCGGGGATTCCCTAACGACGTCTTGTATCGTATCATTACGTTTCGCTTTCCTTTTACTTGTAACATTGTCAGTGAACAGTGGTACCCACTTGAGTACAATCTTACATAAATATTGCATAAATAAATTAGATAACTAATATTATAGACAAAAAAAAAAGAAACCCAGTGATGCATTTAAACGCAAACAACGCCAAGAAAGAGAAGAAAGTAAACAAAAATTGTCCAAAATTGACAAGTTTTTTAGTCAGCCTTCTGCAAGTACTTCTGGACAAAATATTTCTATTGATAATTTTTGTAAATAGCTTGCATGGCCATAGGTTAAATACCAGTAAGCTGGTGCAATGTATCTATGAATAAATAAATCTAAATATATATATAACTCAACGGTGACTGACTGACATAGTAATCTATCAACGCACAGCTCAAACCACTGGACGGATCGGAGCTAAAATTTGGCATACAGGTAGATGTTATGACGTAGGATCCACTAAGAAAGGATTTTGATCAATTCTACCCCCAAGGGGATAACAAAGGGGATGAAAGTTTGTATGAAACTGTCAATTTAAAACCGATCGGACTGAGACTTTGTATGCATAAAGCTACTATGACGTAGGCATCCCCTAAGAAAGGATTTGATAAATTCCACCCCTAAGAAGATAAAATAGAGGATGAAACATTATTTCAGGTTTTTTTACACAATATATTGAATAAATTTAATAAATATATATTGTTAGAAATGCTGCTCAGAGTTACTTTACCACGCGGACGAAGTCGCGAGCATAAGCTAGTATAGTAGTAGTAGCTAGCTAGTACTAGTGTTAGTGCTTAATAGTTTTATTACCTGCCCATGCACGAAAAAGAGCTGATGATAAAGTTGCTTAGCATTTTTAAAGTACTTTTATATTAAAAGATTTTATTACTTCAAAAAATCTTACCAGTTTTGATAGCAGTGGGCCCCATTTTTTTATTTGCCCCAGGGCCCTAGGTTACCTAGCTACGCCACTGAATATTACATTTTATTATTCACAATTTTAATATTATTTCTGTGAACTTTTGAGTGGTATTTACAACTAAATGAACCCGGACTCTTCTGTTAATAATACTTGTATAAATACCGCATTTCTAGCAAATAAATGTGATTGGATTTGACGCTAAATATTCAATAAAATATCACAATAGCACTGTATCATACAAATATTATAAATGCGAAAGTTTATGAGCATGAATGTACGATATGTTTGTTACACTATCACACAAAAACTAGTGAACGGATTTGGATGTAAATTTTGGTGCAAATAATTGTAATCCTGATTCCCTAGAGATAAATGTACTGTCAAGTTATCGTGTAAACTATAAAGCCGCTGGCGGTAAGCTAGCTAGATACTAAAATTACAAAGAGGAAAAAAATAATTGTTTATTTGTCATCGATCGTCGCATCGAATAGGCTAAGAAACTGCTGGACCGATTTCAAAGGTTTCTTTATCTAATAGCTACATCATTTGCGTCATGTATAAATTGCTTTACAAAAGAATCATTCTAATGAAACAAAAAGTGTTCCGTTACAGGTTGTCTCTGATGACTAACAATTAATATTCACAATCAATGAAGTGCTCGCAACTATGTCGAGGTCGCACATGTGTCGAAGAATAGTGACGCGCCATGTATAAATATTATACGAGTACATATTATGTTGCGTGGGTGTGAGAGCTACTGCTGCGATTAGACTTAACAGCCGTAGGTAGTTATTACAAACAGATTATAATCTGCTATTTACTTAACGATAATAAAATTCTCAACACTTACACATTATAATATTTGATAAACTTTACATTTACGACTGGGTTATATTCATACTAAGAGTCCGTCCAAATAATAAAGCCAATCCGACGAAAGAACCGACAAGCGTCTCACGAAAGTATGACTTGCACTCGTATCTTAATTTAGATAAAATTTAAAATTAAATATTAATGTAAACTCAAAAATTAATCATGATAAATTATAATTTTGTTCTGTTAACTCAAATAATTATTACAAATGATATTGACAATAATATAGTAGAATAAGGAACATAACATTATTTGCTACCTGGAGGTGGGCGCTAATGGTTACATTTCAGTTTTTTTTAACTACCGCGACTATTATCGTACACTATAATTTTGTTAACTTATTTGTTCCAATAAATAATTTTTTTTATATTATTTTATTGTATATCTATCTATAGTTGAGAGTTGACTTGAGCACATGTCATAACTTCTGCATAAATAATAATATTTTAGTAGGTATTTTAACTGTTAACAGTTCTTACTTCATTCAAATTCTTGTTTATTTGATAAAAAATATCTGCTATGTTATTATTCTCAAGTAAGTATCGGGTTGGCACAAAAGTAATGAGACACTTGGTTTAAGTTATTACTTTTTTATTATTATTACAATAAAAAAAGTTTAGTCAATGATGTAATTACCATTAGTATCTAAGACTTCTTGCCAACGATCCGGCAAAGTTTGGATGCCTTTTGCCCAGAACTCTGATGGCTGTGCCTCGAAAAAGTTGTTCAACTCCGCCTCTACGTCAGAGAAATCATTAAATTGTTTACCCCGCAAATGCTGTTTCAGGGCTCTAAACAAATGATAGTCTGATGGGGCGAGGTCTGGGGAATAAGGTGGGTAGGGTATCGTCTCCCAGCCCAAGTTCTCCAACTGCCGGCGAACCACAGATGCGACGTGAGGTCGAGCGTTATCGTGCAGTAAAACTACATTGACTAGTATTCGTCGTTTTTTCTTGATAGCGGCAGATAATTTGGTAAGCTGGGTTGAATATTTGTCAGCGTTTATAGTTTCATTGTGTAATAGCTTATAAAACAGTATCCTTCCATCCCAGAAACAGCAAAGCAGAATTTTTCGGCGGTTCTTTTGACTCGGCTTCGGTTGAGTTGGTGGCGTTTCTTCTCGAGGCAGCCAAAAAGCACTACGTGTATCGTTCTCGTAATAAATCCATGATTCATCTCCAGTAACCAGATCTGACAAAAACTCTTTACGTCGGGGTCGCAGCAAAAGTGACTGACAGATAGCGACACGGACTGCACGACTGGCGTCTGTAAGGATGTGCGGTACCCACCG